AAAACATGTGATTGTCGTGTTATGCTTTTTTATATATCTATACTAATAAGAGTGAGGCACTTGGGGTTTAATATGTGTTGCTTTTCCTATTTGCCAATTTTGCACCTCTTTTGGTGTTATTTACATTTTTTTTTTTGGTCTTATGCAAGGCTTGTATTTTTTATTTTCAATTTTGCCCCTCTTTTTGATGTTATTTACAGCTTTTTGGGTCTTTTATCTCTGCCTAATATATTTAGAGTAAATTATAAATACACTTATTGGGATTTGTTTAAATATGAATTATTCCCTATAATTTTACAAATTATAAATACTTTTCTTCTCAGATTTTTATATTATTGTCTCCTATACAACAACAAAATCACTAAAATTGTTAATTAAAATATATTTATGAAGTTATTAAAAGTATTAATTAACTTAATGATTTATAAATAAAATGACTGAAATTATTTTTAGTCTTATTAGAATTTCAATGAATTTGCCTTGCTTTTTTGGAAATTATTTTTTAATTGTATATTTTGATTTTGTATTGGGATAATGAGTTAGCAGTGGTGGTGGAAGTAAAAATGGTACTTATAATGCCAATGACAATGGTGGTGCAGATAGAGAGGCAATAAAAGGGTAATGTAGTGATGATGAAAATTAGGTGGTGGTGGTGGCGGTGGTGTAATAAAGGCAGTGGAATGATGACAATTATTGTGGAGGTGGAACGATGGTGGTGGTTATAACAACGGTGACAGTAGTTGTGGATGTGAAGGGTTCTAATAGCTGTTGCAGTGGTGGTGGTAATGACAATATAACAATCTATCTACACTATATATATAAGCAAATGTAGTGATCTCTTAAAAAAATTCAAAACTCTCAATCCTAACATCTCATGAACCTCTTTCCTACGTGACACATCCATTCTCCTCTCATTCTATTTTCCTATTTTTTCTTATCTTTTTTTTATATTTTTTATTTCACTTTTTAATTACTTATGGCATGGATATAAAAGATTTTCAAAATATTTAAAGATAAAAGATTTTCAAAATATTTAAAAATAGAGGATGAGTTTGACTCTAATTCAAATTTCTTCATCAAAACTCTCAATCCTAACATCTCATGTACCTCTTTCCTACGTGGCACATCCATTCTTCTCTCATTCTATTTTTCTATTTTTTCTTATCTTTTTTTATTTTTTTATTTCACTTTTTAATTACTTATGGCATGAATATAAAAGATTTCCAAAATATTTATAGAAAAAAGATTTTCAAAATATTTAAAAATAAAAGATGAGTTTGACTCTAATTCAAATTTCTTCATCAATTTATGTCTTACCCAAGGATATTTGAAATAAATAAATAAATAAATTTATAAATCTCAAAACCTAACTTCTATGACAATATGAAATTAGGCAAAAAGATTGGAGAACAAAAATAACGTTCTAAAGAAATTAAACGGGTGATTTAACCAATTATGCAAGATTTTTAGCATCTTATGTGAAAAGAAGCACATGTTTTAAATCTCATATTGTGTTTTTTGCTCTCTTTTACTTTTACAATTTATCTAAGTTTCTCTTTTTATATTCGTATAATTCATCTTCAAATTTGCATTTGATTTTTTTTTAATCTTTATCTTATATTTACAGTAGGTTTTAAACCAGCTCTGATACCATGTAAGAAATAATGTATAGAGAAAGAGAGAGAATAAATTGTATGTATTATTATTGATTGATATATTGTTATGTTTACAATGATTCCTATATTATTTTTATCTGATTTTCACTTTCTATATTCTTATAATTTTTTATTCTTTCTTATTTCAATTAAGTAGCTTTAGAAGACAAAATTTGATTAAATTATAGGGAGTAGACACAAAATAGAGTTAAAATTTGTATAATAAGATAACATAATTGCTTATTTTTTAACTACACAAAATTTAAATTTTAGAAAATTATAAGTGGCACTTAAATCTTATCTGATTTTTAACATACTACCTCGATTTTATTTTAGTTTTTTTTTTACAAATTTTAAAAAATTATAAGTGACATTTCACTCTTATCTAATTTTTTAATTATTACCCTCTCCATTTCTTCTGTTATTAGAGTTATATTAGATTTTATTTTTCTTTTCAAGTTTGTCTTATCTTATTTTTTAATTTTAAATTTCAACTTTGTTTTTTTTCAATTACTGAATTTCTCTCTACCTCATTTTTCTAGGATTTGTCTAATTTTCTTATATATATATATATATATAGTTTATCTTCAAATTTAAACTTAATCTGTTTTTATCTATATCTTATATTTACAGAATCCACTCTTACTCTTAATTTTCAGTTCAACTTTTTTTTTCTTCTAAAATTTATTTAATTAAATATAGTAAGATCACTAAATACATTATTTCAATACCCATCTAAATAAATATCATAGTATTTAATTGTTAATTTTTAGCATGTTCAACATTATTTACCATTTTTTGTTACTTGCCCGTGTATAGCACGCGTTACCGCTAGTATATATTGATACTAATGTATAAGTATTTATAAGTTCTATTAGAATTAAATAAGTTTTCTACTAATTAATTTTTATTTTTATTTTTTAGCTTTCATATTTAGAACCACTTAAATTTTTAAGATAAATTACAAATACACCCCCTGAGGTTTGATTAAAATATGAATCGTCTCATGTAGTTTTAAAAATTACATTTCACCCCCTAAGATTTCTATTTTCATAATAAATTGCTCATTTTATTAATAAATCATCAAGTCAATTAACAGTTTTTAATGATGTTAAAAATATGTTTCAATTAATAATTTAGGTAATTTTATTATTGTATAAAAGAGCAATTATGAATTTCATTTTTTTAGTTAATTATGTTAAATAAAAAATACTAACAACGAGGTATTTGACAAACCACATGGAGCAATCTATATTTTAAACAAACTTCAAGAGGTGTATTTGTAATTTACCCAAAATTTTAAGTTATACTATTTGTGATTATCAAATAAACTTAATTAATTTTAACTTAATACAATCAAATTTAAATATTGAATTAAATTATCAAATATCACCTTAAATAATCTAATTAATTTACATTTTTTAATAAAATTACTGAACCTTCAACCCGTACCTTGCACGGGCTTTTTCTTCACTAGTTATATTATAAAAATTACATTAGAAATTGGGGGTTTCTTTTCTGTCACCTTTTTGTATTTGTTGGCCGGTTGCTTCATTGGATACATGAATGTTGTTGATATATGGCTACAATAATGTTAGGTATCATGAAAATAATGTCACAAAAAATCTTTATAAAGATTATTCACCTTTGGATTAGATTATAGTGTTTGTAGTGTTTTATTGTATATTATGCATTCATCCTTAGATTAGTTTCATAAAATTTTTCATGATATGTAACATTCCTCGTATGGCTATTGATTAAATTTAATGCAAAATGATACATAAATAGAATTTCGGATAAATTATGATAGTTTTAATTCTTGTCTTGTTTTAGTTTTTATAATTTCAATTGATTCGATTTTGATTATAAATTTATGATTTTATTTTATTTTGGTCTAATTGATTGCAATTATAAGCATTTTTTAATAGAAATTATCCAATGTCATACTTTTAGAAATAAAATTATAAACTTGCTCAATTCAATAGGTTAACATTAACTAACTCAATGATTATTTTTTGTAAAAAAAAACCCCTAAGAGTGTTATCAATTATTGATACAATCTAAAATTAAGAGTAAAAAATTGAACTAATTGTAAATATAGAAATCAAAACAACACAAAAAATAAAATGTAAAGACTAACAATGTAATTTACTCTAGAATTTTCATACAGAATAGGATTTCTTTTTATAATCCTTTCATTTCCAATCAAAACACCCACCATTATTCTCACAATTCTACAAATGCCATTAACATTTTTTTTTTTTGGTTTACAAATCATTTTCGTACAGTTTCAGACAGTTGATTGGTTGGTTTACTTTTTTTTTTCTTCTGTATTTAAATCTTAAATTTGTCGTGAAAAAAAATGTTACCCTCAAAACATTTTCTAATGAAAAACATTTTTTACAGAATTTTTTTTTCTCAGAAAATATTTTTTAGAAAAAATATTTTTCAATTTGTGGTGAAAAAAAATGTCACCCTCAAAACATTTTCTAATGAAAAACATTTTTTACAGAATTTTTTTTTCTCAGAAAATATTTTTTAGAAAAAATATTTTTCTATGATTGGTGGTGGTGGTGGTGGAATGAAGGTGGAGGTGGTGGGTTGGCGACGATGGTGATGGTGATAGTGGTTGTGGTGATGGTAGCGTGGTGGTGGATGTGAGAGTAGCGGTGGTAGTGTGGTAACATTGGTAAAACTTTAGTTCAAAAAACGTTTTCAGCCTTTTAAAAGTGAAAAATATTTTCTACCCCTATAACCTTGTTTTCTGTTGATCATGAAAAATATTTTATGTTAACTTTCATTTTCTATTATACTAAATACCAAAAAATACGAAAAATATTTTCAAAAAATGTTTTTTTGCCCAAACAAAAGGAGCAATGTCAACGGAAAGTAAATTTATTTGGGCAAAAAATATTTCACTTTTAAAATGCGGAAACATTTTTCAAATTAAAATCTTATTAATGTCACCACACTATCACCACTATTCTCACCTTCACCACCCCACCCCACCGCCGCCGCCACCCCACCACCATGTCACCACCTCCACCTCCACCTCCACCTCCACCTTTGTCCCACTACCACAACCACCAAACATGTAGAAAAAGTTTTTTGTAGAAATCGTTTTTTGTTAGAAAACATCTTATACCCAAACAAACGGAGTTCAATATCTGGTCAATGAATAAAATGGATCAGAAATTGGGTTTTCTGTCTCTGTGCATTTGCCTGTTTCTGTTTGAGTAATGGATAGTGAAAACAAATACAAACAAATTCAAATCTTTGGCACAAATTCATGGCCTGTGAACATTTTTTGTTTTTAGTACTAATTTGTCTTTCAAAACATCTCAGAATATGAAAGTCTATCAACACCACTATTGAGTGAAAAAGATGGGAATCATACAACAGATCATAAAGGGAATCAAACAACACTAGGCCGCGCTAATTTTCTAAGCCGCTGGACATTTTCATGGATCAATCCTTTGCTGAAATTGGGTTACTCTAGACCATTGGTTCTTGAAGACATACCAACCCTTTTGCCAGAAGATGAAGCTTTCATAGCTTATGAGACATTTGCAGCAAAATGGGATAAACTCAGAAAAAAATGCAATACCCACGAAACCAATCCCGGAAGTTTGATTATTAATGTGATGACTAAAGTATTCGCAAAAGACATGATAATTGTAGGACTCTGTGCACTCCTTAGAACAATTGCCGTTGTGGTTTCCCCTCTTTTGCTATGTGCATTTGTGCAGTACTCCAATTGTTTGGATAAAGATCTCAATCAAGGTCTCATTCTTGTTGGGTGGTTATTGGTCATGAAGGGTATTGAGTGTGTGTGCCAAAGACACTGGTTTTTCAATTCTAGGAGGTCTGGGATGAGAATGAGATCAGCTTTAATGGTTGCAATCTACAAGAAGCAGCTAAACCTTTCAAGCCTTGGAAAGCGAAGGCACTCTACAGGGGAGATTGTGAATTATATCGCTGTTGATGCTTATCGAATGGGGGAAGCTTTCTGGTGGTTCCACATGGCATGGAGTCTCGTACTCCAACTTTTTCTCTCGATTGGTGTGCTTATTTGTGTCTTAGGTTATGGTGTCCTTCCGGGTTTGGTTCCACTTTTCATTGTCGTCCTTTTCAATGTACCCATGGCAAGGATCTATAACAATTGTCTATCCAAATTCATGACTGCGCAAGATGAACGGTTGAGAGCTACTTCAGAGATCTTGAATAATATGAAAATCATCAAGTTGCAGTCGTGGGAAGAGAAATTCAAGAATGTGATTGACTCTCTTCGCGAAAAAGAATTCAAATGGTTAGCTGAAACTCAAATTAAGAAGTCCTATTCGACAATACTATATTGGTTTGCACCCACCATAATCTCCATCATGGTGTTCATTGGATGCGTGATCCTCCAAACTGCGCCGTTGAATGCTGCCAACATATTCATGATTCTTGCTATGTTACGGAACATGCAAGAACCTGTTAGAACAATCCCCGAGTCTATTTCTACATTGATTCAAGTCAGGGTCTCGTTGGATCGTATAGGTACCTTTTTGCTTGACGATGAGTTCTGTGAGAAAATGAGGGTCCCAATGATCAATTCCGACATCAGTATCAGAATTCAAGGAGGTACTTTCAGTTGGGTTCCCGAATCTGCAATTCCAGCAGTCAAAGATATGAATTTGGAAGTGAAAAGAGGGCAAACAGTTGCAGTTTGTGGGCCAGTTGGTGCCGGAAAATCATCACTTTTACATGCAATAGTAGGCGAAGTACCCAAAATCTCAGGATCAGTGAGTGAAAACAGACACATTACAACATTACTCTCCCTCTTCTTATTCTTTTCTTCTAATTATGGTGATTGATGTATATGATTGTAGGTGAATGTTATTGGGTCTGTTGCTTATGTATCTCAAGCACCTTGGATCCAAAGTGGGACAATTCGAGATAACATACTCTTTGGAAAGCCAATGAACAGAATCAAATATCTTGAAGCCATAAAAGCATGCGCTCTAGATATAGATCTTAAAAGTTTCAACCATGGTGACCTCACAGAAATTGGTCAAAGAGGGCTTAATTTGAGTGGTGGACAGAAACAAAGGATCCAGCTTGCCAGAGCAGTCTACGATGATGCTGACATCTATCTTCTCGATGACCCTTTTAGTGCAGTTGATGCACATACAGCTGCAGTTCTTTTCAATGTATGAAAACAATCTCCGATTTCCTTTAGAAGTGAAAAAAAAAAGAAGACTGAAAATGTTTATTTCATTTTTTTTTTTTCCGAGTTTGTTTTGTTACTGACATCTGATTACACCATTGCAGGGTTGTGTTGTGGCTGCTCTGCAGGATAAAACCGTCATTCTAGTAACTCATCAGGTTGAGTTTCTCAACAAAGCTGATAAAATTCTGGTATGAACTTACACTAGAACATCACAAGCATCGCCTTTTGTATCTATGTTTGCCGTTTGACGCATTTAGATTTGCCTTTTCAGGTCATGGAAGGAGGACAAGTGACTCAATTAGGAAGCTATGAGGAACTACTAACATCCGGGACAGTTTTTGAACAACTTGTGAATGCTCACAACGATGCAGTCTTATCTTCAAATAATGAAAACCAAGGTGAATCAAAAAAATTGGAGGCAGATCAGCTACGCGAGCCATATCAGTCTCACAGCATTCAAGAAAACACTGAAAAGGAGCTTTCGGTTGAGGGTATTCCAGGGATCCAACTAACAAAAGAGGAAGATACAGCAATGGGAAATGTTGGGTGGAGGCCATTCTTGGATTATATCAATATTTCAAAGGGGTCATTTCTTCTTGGTTTGACCTTGTTCGTGCAGTTTGCTTTCTCTGCTTTGCAGGCGGCGGCAACTTATTGGTTAGCAATAGCCATTGAAGTTCCCAAAATAAACTATGCAACATTGATTGGAGTCTATGCTGGACTGTCAACCCTAAGTACATTATTTGTATTTCTAAGAACTTTGTTTTCAGCCTATCTAGGACTCAAAGCTTCCAGGGCTTTCTTCCTAGGTTTTATGAATTCAGTGATCAAAGCACCCATGCTCTTCTTTGACTCCACGCCCATTGGAAGGATATTTACTAGGGTAACAAATCTCCATTGCAAAATCTCTTTTTTCGTGTTAATTGAATCCATACCTTGTTTTTAGGGCACCGAAAAAACATGGAATCATTTTATCACCAAACAAGTATATCATGGAATCATTTTATCTCATTTCCTTTCCTAACTGATATTGTTATGCTGTAGGTTTCATCAGATATGAGCATTTTGGATTTCGACATACCTTTTGCTATTGCCTATTATGTTCATTGTGTAATAGATATGTTGGCAATAATTGGAATAATGGCCTCTGTCACATGGCCGGTGCTCATTGTAGCGGCTCCTGCAATAATAGCTGCAACATATGCTCAGGTAAATCTCATTTCCCTTTCATCCTCGGATCAACAAGGGCAATTCTAATTTTTATTGGTCATGACAACAGAGATATTACCTATCCTCTGCAAGGGAATTAATGAGAATCAATGGAGTAACCAAAGCGCCAATTATGAACTACACAGCAGAAAGTTCACTAGGTGTAGTCACTATAAGAGCTTTTAACATGACAGGCCAGTTCTTCCGGAACTACCTCAAGCTCGTTGACACAGATGCAAGACTCTTCTTTCATTCCAACACTGCCACGGAATGGTTACTTCTACGAGTGGAAACACTACAAAATCTGACTCTAATCACTAATGCTCTTCTTCTTGTCCTGCTTCCTCAGGGTTACTTAGATTCAGGTACGTGTTATCTTTGAGAATTAGCTAATCCAATAATGCTTGTAGAAAATTTGTTTATCAATGGAGGTTCAACTGTTTGGCAGGGCTCATGGGACTATCTCTTTCTTATGCTCTCACACTGAGCACTGTTCAAGTGATGATGTCACGTTGGTATTGCAATTTAGCAAACTACATCATTTCTGTTGAACGAATCAAACAATTCATGGATATACCACCAGAACCTCCTGCAATTGTAGATGACGCGAGGCCACCTCCTTCGTGGCCCTCTCATGGAAGGATAGAGTTGCATGATCTAAAAGTAAGCCTCTGCCAATGGCTTACAGAATAATAAGTACTTATGACTAAATAAATTTTAAATCATCGCCAATAGGGCTTATCTGAGAGTTACCTAAAAGTTTCCAGTGCATTTTGGCGCTTAGGCTCTCATTTTTCAGTCCCTCAAATTTTTATTTTTATTTTTTAAATGGTTTCAGATTAGGTATCGGCCAAATGCTCCACTGGTTCTCAAGGGAATCGCTTGCACTTTCAATGAAGGCCGTCGAGTGGGAGTTGTTGGAAGAACTGGAAGTGGTAAAAGTACACTAATAAGTGCTCTGTTCAGATTAGTGGAGCCTGAAAGTGGCAGAATTCTCATAGATGGCCTCAATATATGCTCTATGGGTTTGAAGGATTTAAGATCAAAACTCAGTATCATCCCTCAAGACCCCACTCTTTTTCGGGGCAGCATTCGATCAAACTTGGATCCTCTAGGCCTGTACTCTGATACTGAGATATGGGAGGTAATGGTCATTCCAATTTCCTAATGCTTTTAATATCTTTTTGCATTAATTCAATGAGAAAAAAGTCATGAAATTCATCAAAAAGCTGATTGGATCTTCATTTTCTAGGCCCTCAGCAAATGCCAACTTAAGGATACAGTAAGCAGTCAACCGAACCTTCTAGATTCAGTGGGTAAGTTGAATTCAAAGGATTATAATGGAACGATTTTACTGGCTTCATAGTTCTCAACAAGACCATATGTCCTCATTTTTTGGATTCAACAGTGAGTGATGAAGGTGAAAATTGGAGTGTTGGGCAGCGTCAACTCTTGTGTCTTGGAAGAGTCCTCCTTAAAAGAAACAAGATTCTAGTTCTAGACGAAGCTACTGCATCAATTGACACTGCTACAGATGCCATTGTGCAGACAATCATCCGACAAGAGTTCCCTAGCTGTACGGTGATAACCGTAGCTCACAGAGTTCCCACAGTCACAAATAGTGACATGGTCATGGTTCTCTCTTTCGGTATGCCTCACTTCCTCATCACACATACACACATTTATATGATGTGTTCTGAACTGGTTGATTTGTTTTGAAGGGGAAATGGTGGAGTATGATGAGCCCTTAAAGCTTATGCAGACCAACTCCTATTTTTCAAGGCTTGTTGAGGAATACTGGTCTAGCTGTGGGAGAAATTCTGTTCAAGGATTCGGTAATTTTTAGTGGAAAAACGGTAAACTGTCATTTATATAAGAGCGACCTAGTGGAAAAAGTTGGGTCCTGGAATAAGCAGAAGTCAGGAATTTGGCTTGGCCAAGAAGAGAGGGAGCAATGTTTGGGCACTGAGCAGGAGTACAAGGAACTCGCCGAGCTGGCAATCGGAGCTTCCAAAATCTTGTGTTTTGGAAGTAATGGACGGGTTAGATACAATATTTTGAGAGCATTCATTTAATTTCATTATGAGCATTTTTTCTTCATTTATTTATCAAATATTTACATATGTTTATGGTATTCTTGTTGTGTTTTACATATGTTTTTGTGTTGTGGGCTGTAATGGCAGTGATGCTTAGTTTGCTGTTCATGCTTTTGAATCATTAGTGAAAATTTTGAAATGAAATGATTATGAATGTATTAGCAGGTTATAATTTCATTTTGATTTGTTGTTGATTATGAATGAATAATGGAAATGAATTTACTTTCTTTGTTGTTTTTGTAAGTTTTCTGTAACAACCATCATTTTGACTTAGTCATACTTGCATATATTTATGGATGATCTTGTTTTAATATGTGCATTTGCAAATCTTGTCTTGTTTTGCTTGAATGATTGCATGCTTAGTTTGCTGTTCATGCTTTTGAATCATTAGTGAAAATTTTGAAATGAAATGATTATGAATGTATTAGCAGGTTATAATTGCATTTTGATTTGTTGTTGATTATGAATGAATAATGGAAATGAATTTACTTTCTTTGTTGTTTTTGTAAGTTTTCTGTAACAACCCTCATTTTGACTTAGTCATACTTGCATATATTTATGGATGATCTTGTTTTAATATGTGCATTTGCAAATCTTGTCTTGTTTTGCTTGAATGATTGCTTGCATGCTTTGTTCTTGACTAGTGTGTTGCCGAGGTCATCTTAAGCCTAGACACCTTCGAGACCTTTATCACTTAGAACCATCTTGGAACCCCTTTAGTTGACCTTCACCTTCACCCTGGCACATTGGCCGAGATGTCACCATCTAGGCCGAGGTACGCGTCGCCTAAGCCGAGATGTGCATCATCTGGGCCGAGATGTTAATATCTAGGCGTTCTAGATCCTTGATCCTTACATTAGTGATTTTGTTCCTGGAATGGTATGACCTAGACCGAGGTGTGGCACATCTAGGCCAAGGTGTGGCATAACTTAGTCAAGTGTTGTCCTTCCAAGCCAATGTCATGGTTACCCTGCTTGCCGAAGCTTTGCCCTTAGCCGAGATCATCACTTGTCGGAGTACTCTTGTTGTTTAGCTTGTTGAGTACACTTTGTCTTGGTCTTGTCTCGTCAAGTCAGTCACCTTTTCGAGTAGAGCTAATCAGCCGGTGCCACGTGTCCCGACAGAGGGATTAAATCAGTGATTGTCGTAAGGAGCATATCTTTTTGGTATCAATCTTGCCTTTTAGAGAGAGAAACGCTAGAAAGAAGAAGGGAAGTTTGAGCTAGAGAGAGTGAACTTCCAAGCTTGATCGTTGGAGCTTGAGCCGTTAGATTCGAGATTTGAGGTTAGAATCTTAACCTATTCTTGTTGTTTTTATTGATCATCTAGCTGCATTGCACGATCAAACCTGTTCTACACGCCATTCATCGATTTAAAGTTGGTTTTGGAAAGAGAAAACGGTTTTCATGTGTTTTTGAAGAAAAGCCTCGTTTGATCCGAAAGTTTGTATTAAGGCTCATGCTTTTGTGTTTGTTTTGATAAAATCCCTGAGCGTGGGTACCCAGGTCCATGTTTTTGAAATTATAGCATGAAATCTCAACTTTTGTAATAGCAAGTTTTGATCTTTGCGTTCATTTTCTTCATACTCATGTTCTTCATGTTTATCAAGAGGGAAACCCAGATTTTCCCGACTTCGCTTTTGAATGTGGCCATCGAGGCTACACCTCGGCAAGGAGGTGTGCGGACCTTCAGCCTAGACATGGTAGTTGCCCACCGTGTTTTTCCAAAGATAAGAAATTGTGTTTCGATTTGATTGACTTAGTTTTTGAAGAATGCCGAGGTCATTTGCATGTAAGCTAGACTTGTTTTGAGTGGTGCATTCAATAGACTTTGCCATGCGTTGTAGGACTTGGACTTGCCTTGACCCGACGTTTGAAAACTAGGTGAGTAGTATTTTTAATAAAGCTATGTTATACGTTTGCATAAAGACTTGCTTTGCTTTGTTTTGAAAGTATTGTTAAGCATGAATAATTGTCCCTGTTTTGTGTATATCAAGTATGATCTTGTCTTGATGACCTCTCGGAAAGTCCCTTGTGCTGGAGGACTCTAAACTTTCGCAGCACAATCTCGTTTGGAAATCCTTTGTGCTGGAGGACTCTAAACTTTCGTCAGCACATTCTTGGTTTGAAAGTCCTCCTTGTGCTGGAGGACTCTAAACTTTTCGCAGTCCACCCTTGATTTGTACTCTAGTTTTAAGGAGCTACGGGCCTTTGAACATAGGCCCTCGTGCTGGAGGACTCTAAACTTTCGCAGCACATCTTGTCTTGAAAGTCCCTTGTGCTAGAGGACTCTAAACTTTAGTAGCACCCTTCTTTGAGATGCCTCTCTTGCTTTGTCTTGTTTTGCCACGGACGGTTTACCACGTGGATACGTTTGCCGGAATGTTAATATTTGTAATATGTGATGCTAGTGAGTATCCTTTGAAGCTTTGAAGATCTGTTAGACGGACGAGGTCCATTCCTTGTTATATATGGAGTTTTGTCTTGTATTGTTTTGAGAGGACTTCAGCTATTATTCATGCAAACCCCTTTATTATTTATACCATTCACTGAGTATCCAAGCTCACCCTCTCTATATATATGTAGGTGATGAGTAAGAAGGCTGTGACGCCTAGATGTGATTCTGGAGTTTATTTTGGATTTTGATTATGTCGGCTTAACCTGTAATTGCGTCGACAGTCTTGAAATCATGCTTCTCGATTTGTAATACTTGTATGTTGCATGCGTCGGCTTGAGAAGCCTTTTGATCAAGATGTGTGTTTTGTATACATGTTATGTCGGCAGTGGGGATGTCGGCAATTCTGAAGATTTTGCTTCTAGCTGTCTTTCATGTATTTTGTTCATGTTGGCTTGTGAAGCCATTTTGTTAATATGTAAAATGTAATTTGTACTTTGCTTTGTTTGTAATTAAGTTATAACCCATATGCAAATGGTTGCTATCTCATTTGACTTATGCACAGCTCTTATGGACTAATCTGTTTGTATAAATCGCTTCCGTACTTGTTAGCCCCATATAATTGTACTCTGATTGTGTGTGAATTTTGTAAGTTGGCCTTCGGTAATCCCGGATTACTGGCCATCACGACACTAAACTACTAGGGGCGGTTTGGGGTCGTGACATTTTCTGTATATTCAATTGTATATTTGATTACAGTTAGACCTTGGAATATATAGCCCTAACTCTTAAACCAAAAAAGAAAATACAAACACTATAATCACGCCTCTAATATATACAACCCCAATTATGCCTAATTTAGAATGTACACAATATATTCTCACACTTCCGATGAACTCAAGGTGTTTTAGTAGAAAACACTAAGCTTGCGTTTGGTTGTGTTTTGTAAATGTGATTTGAGAGTATGAGTTATATTTTGAGTTTGTGGGTTGTAGAATTATGATTTGAGTGTAGAAAATTTGTTTGGTTATGGTTTTTAAATAGAGTGTTGAATTGTGTTTTAAAGATGTATTTTGAATTAAGTTTTGAAAGTTTGATGTGACATGTGAAAGGTGAAAATTTGTTTGGTGATGTGTTTTGAAAATAGTTTTCAAAACTTAATTCAACCAATAATTTATCATCAAACACACAACTCATATATCGATATCCATATTTTTTTATCAACAATAATAACCAAACTATTTTTAAAATACTGAAATTAAAAATTGATTTTTTTTGTCAATTAATTTTTTTTAGTAATTTTTTTGAATAATTGTTTTTTCCAAATAATTTTTCCATTTTAAAATAAAGGTTCAAACAGTTCTCTTCGTGCATAATATCAAACAGTTCAAAGTAGAGAAGTTGGCAGGAAGGGATGACCAATGGGATGACCTGGGGGATGACCGGCCGGATGACCTGGGGGACGATCGGCCGGGTGTCCCAGGTACTGCGCCTCAGGTTCTCTTCGTGCAAAGGTTCGAACAGTTCGGGGTTTAAAATACCAACAGATCTGAAATGAAAAAAACTTGTCTACAAATTCTCAGAAATCATTTGGGAACTGATTTCAACTTCTCTGAAATCATTTATACATAACAGATGAAGATTGATTTAACAGATTAGCGGGGAAAAGGTTGAAACAGTTCGGGAAAATCGAAAAACATATGAAACAAAAAAAATAGTCGGCTACACTTCTCACAAAAGATTTGAGAACTGATTTCGACTTGTTTGAAATCATTTGCACATAATAGATGAAGAATTTATTTACCAGATTAAAAGGAAAAGAGGAAGAAGACAGACACGTTGAAAGCGGAGAACTGAACTACGAGATGCCAAACGAATTTTCAAATTGTAATTTGAATTAACATGCAGAATCAACTTTTGAATGTCGTATCCAAACGTCATGCGCGAGCTCACGTGTTGAAAATTGATTTGAATTCACAACCAAACAGAGCCTGAGAGTTTGCTAAGAAGAAACTGAAACAAAGCGGTAGTGTGAGTCTTGGTGAAGAAGTCCCAAGTTGCAAAGCCAAAGGGATGAAAGAAAGTGAGATAGAGTCAGACTGTAGATACTGGCGAACAACGTGACAAACAATCTCAATGTGTTTGGTCCGTTCATAGAAGACGGTATTGTGGGCAATCTGAACAGCACTGCGGTTGTCACAATAGAGAGAGGTTGGAGAAGACTAAGAGACACCCAAATCAGACAGGAGACAACGAAGCCAAACAATCTCAGCAATGGTATGAGCCATAGCACAATACTTAGCTTCGGCAGTAGAGCAAGCAATGACTGATTATTTTTTGCTTTTCTAAAAGATCAAGGAATCACCAAGAAACATACAAAAACTAGACGTAGA